TAACGGCTGGCCGGAGTGAAGCTCGATAAAGGTATTGAGAGATGATATAGTCGTGAAATGCTGGCTCCTGCCAGCCATTCTTGACGCGTGTCAAGAATGTGCGAAGCGCAACCAAGAACAGGGCGGAAGTTGGTAGGAGGGCCAGGGCGTGTAGGTACGGCGGAACCACTTTCACGTCGCGACTCTTCATCCTCGGAACCCGAATTTCTGAACCATCCTCAGCGGTTGTCTTTTTCTTCGTCGTGATGTTTGCAATCATATGTTCCATATCGGGCACGTGAAGAGGCGGGTGAAGAACATTCTGGCCGGCTGCCTCCTTTATTGCCGAAGCCAGACCAGGAGCCCAATCAGTATGTATCTGGCTTGCGGTTGGAAGCTGGCGTCGCTGAAGCTCCGTAGCCAGAGCGCTCAGCGCGTGCTTGTACACCTCAGGCCGCTCTGTGGGGTGCCGAGCCACACAAAGAGGGAGGGCCGAGCGGCGCCAGTGCTGGTCTAGGTACCTGTACATGGACGCCGTGATCACGTAGTACCTGGGCGGGGTCTATCCAGAGGCTCATGAACTTCTATCGCATATCGAAAGAAACAGCGTTAAATAGCCACAGAAACAAAAACCCTAAACACTAAACTTAGACCAGACATCAGTATCGGGCTGCGTGAAATCATCTGCCTCCACTTTCCACTTGCATAAAGGCTTTTCAAGCATTTCCTACTTCGAGTTATAATGTGATGAACCGCAATCCCTGCACAGCCTCCTTGGCAGGGTGTATGATTCTCCCGAAAATGCTCCGTGATGGCTCGGAGGCAGTGACCTGCAGCAGCAGGGTTTAGGGTTTAGGGTTTAGGCTTTAGTGTTTAGGGTTCCCCCAAAAAAACAACCATGAGCGTGCCTCCTAAGATCTTCAAAAGCCCGGTGGGCGTGGTTGCGAGTTCCAGGACGTTAATGGCTTACATCTGGGTGTTGAGAGTTTAGGGCTCTTGGGATTCTGTAGCGATTACATCAGAGTTCACGGCTCACAGGTGCACTTTTCAGGTACATGCCCGCACCAGGAGCAAACTCCACATCCTTCTAGCGTGCCTCTACAGGCTCGAAACCCTAAACTCTCTTTCAGTGCTCGCGGTGTGCGCGGGGTGTGCGCGGGGTGTGCGCGGGGTGTGCGCGGGGTGTGCGCGGGGTGTGGGTGTGCGCGGGCCCTAAACCCTAGCGGTGGTGAGCTAAACCCTGAACCCTAAACCCTGAATCGCAAGACAGGTCCGAGGAGCTGTAGCTCAGCTGCTGGCGCCGATCAGCAGGGCACCATGCGATTAGCTGAGTGCACCTAAACCCTAATGGCCATGTTGGGGGGGGGGGAGGGGTAGCATCGTGTGAGCAGAGTCGTGAGGGGCAGCTGCTGATAGGATCGTGTGAGCAAAGAGGTCTGAACCGCAGAAGCAAGCGGCGTAACTGTGCGTTTCTAGGTCGTAACTAACAGGTAAACGCCGTAACTGAGCACGCTAAATCTTGAACGAGAACGACTGCCCCCAAACATTTGTGGGAAATAAGAACACATTTAGAAATAAATAATGTGTAATATAAGGTTTGACCCTAACACTTGAACGAATCTGCGAAAGTGGCGCCCTCATTTTCGAACAAGGGTTATAGAGAAGGTTTAGACCTAAACCTTAAAGAAATCAGGCAATAAGGCTTTGGAATAAGGTCTGGCCCTCAGTCTTCAGCGAGTAAGCGGCAAGAACTCCCACTCCCTCCTTTTCCTGAATATTGAAAGAATTTGGAATAACGTATATGGTTTGACCCTGACCCTTCAACGCACATAGTCATTGATACACTTTCGAGGTCGCTTCGTGGCCGTCGTTTTCGGAGCCAAGGTAGAAATCTAGGAAAATCTAGCCCCGGGCTCTGTTTGGAGGCCGGCTAGAGAAAACTAGAAAAAGCTAGAGAAAGCTAGACTTTTACTTTGCTGAATTGCTGATGTTTCCTGGCCCTTAAGTCTGTGGTTTCGGCTTTAAAGGGGGTATTGTTAGAGGTGTTTGGGGTTTAATGTTTATAAGGATCCTCGGGTTCAAGGAATGTTTTGAGATTGCTCACCCCCCCAACATCACACTGAGAATGCCTTTGGGCTATCAGGGCATTCGGGCTCAGGCTTTTAAACTGTTTTGACATGGGACCCCCAAGCATGACACTGAGAATGGCTCTTGGAAGATTGCTCTCAGGCTTTTCGGGTTTGGGGTTTAAGTTTGGAGTGTTTGGGAGTAGACAGCCAACGTCACACTCAGAATGCATGTGTGTTGACAGGGCGTTTCGGGTTCAGGGTGTGAAAGTGAAGGCTTTTCGGGTTCAGGGTTTAGGCTGAGTGTTTGGGATTGGACACCCCCCCAACATCACACTCAGGCTTTTCGGGCTGGGGTTCAACGCGTTTTGGGATTGGACCCCAACATCACACTCAGAATGCCTCTGATAGGCAAGTGGTGCCCGCCTCCTTTTTCCCTGATTGTCGGGTTGCTAATCCGCTTTCGCTAAATCTCAAACGAATAATTGTAAGGTTTGGTCCAAAACCTGGTTTAGGAATAGGGTTTGGCTTCAGCATTAAGCGAATAAGGTTTAGGAATAAGGTCTAGCCTATGAGGTGTAAGGATAAGCCTGCTTAAATCTTAGCGAAAACGCCTGCCCCTACAGAAGGTTCAAAGCATTGGGAATAGGGTATATGATTTGACCCTAACCCGGAGACGAATATGCGTAAGCGGTGCCCCATTCTCGCAATCTTGGGATCCCTAGACCTTATTCACTAAATGCCATGCGTCAATGGTGCCGTCATTGTCCTGATTTTTTGGGCTCCTAAACCGCTTTCGTTAAATTCGTAGATGTTCGTGTTGTGCCTTTCAAAAAGGGTACTCTTCACATGAAAAAACCGCGTTGCCACAAACCGGAAAAACCTGACATATTCCCTCGCAAGGTAGTTTTGGGATTTCGTTGGTGTCGTCAAACCTGAACCCTAAACCCAGCAGTCTGGATGGGCTCTTCGATCTCCATGGCCTATGCTGCTTGCTCATCCACCCGGCCGAAAAGTGGGAGTGCTCAAAAAAAGAGCAGCATTTCGTTCCCCTTTACACTCAAGTCTATGTTTATTTTGGTGTGCCAGAGCCACCCGAAAAGTGGGAAAGTTTCAGGTTTTAGTGGGAAAATTCCAGGTTTTCGTGGGAAAATTCAGGTTTTAGTGGGAAAATGTCAGGTTTGTATCAGGTTGTAGTGGGGAAAGTTATGTCAGGTCAGGTTGAAGCCACAAAATGTGAGGATGTAGTTATCAATCAAAGGGTGGGAAAAGGTCAGGCTGCAGTGGGAAAATGTCAGGCGACGAGAAATTGCCTTCACTGATGGCGATTATGTGTTTTTTCAGATGATGCTTTGTCAGGTTTTGTTGCGTTTTTGTCAGGTTTTGGTGGGGTTATGTTTGTACATACAGACACTTGAAGAGACCCCAAACAAAGAGTACATGGACGCAAATCCCTCTTAAACGCATAATTCTGAGATTTGGTCTTAAACCTAAAACGAATCAGGTTTAGGAAAAGGGTTTGGCTTAAGTCTTAAGCATTTACATAATACGGTTTAGGAATAAGGTCAAACCTGTGAGGTTTCAGGAGAAGGTCAGGCCCTACTAAGACTTAAGGAAGGAAGGTTTATGAGTAAGATCTGATAAATGTTCACCAGCCAATCACACACGCAAAACCTCAAAAGGTAGATGCTGGTAGGGGGGTAGCATGTATATATATATAGATAGTCATCCTTGAATAGATAGAGTATGGTTTTCTGGGGGTTATTCTTTTTCGGTGTTTTCGGCTTTTTCCCACGTTTTTGAAGGAACCCATAGATAGAATACTGAAACCCATAGATAGAATATCTCAAAGAGTCCCAAAACCCATAGACAGAATATTTTCGGGACCCCGAAAAAAACGCCCGTTTTCGGGCTCTCCTGCACACATATTCTATCTATGGGTTTCAAGATTTGTCAAGCGCCAGACCATAGTGAGGAGAGGTGAGGAGAGGGGAGGGGAGGGGAGGGAGGAGGGGGAGGGGAGGTCCCCGACCCCGAAGAGAGCACCCCCAACTCCAGTGGGGACCCATAGATAGAATTTTGTTAGCCCGAAGGCGCCTCTCCGCCCTGAACTTTAGGCCAGGGTTCTCAGGCTATGTAAGCCTCAAGAGAGGCGTCTTCAAGTGATGCCTACTTTGGGCTATTTTGGAGCCTTGCATTATTATTAAGCTTAGAACCCTAGACCCCAAACCCTGAACCCTCAGATCCCAAATCCCCGAAACTGTAATAAAAAAGGGGAACCCATAGATAGAACATAGTGGGCCCCCGCGCCCCTTGGCCCTATATTTTAGGCCAATATTCTACCTAACGTTTCGGGGTTTTGATATTCTATCTATCGTTTTGGAAAGGGTGTTGTTTTATTTTCGGATTTTCAAATGTTCTATCTACTTAAGGATGCCTATATATATATGTATATATACATATATATATATATATATATTTGCAAATATGTAGCTCAGCAGTACGTGGCCACAGTTCTTTAGTCTATGCTCTGCTGGGGAGTATTTGGCGAATGACATGCACGTGGGGCTTCCTTCCCAAATTGTTCGCGGAAGAAGTCGAAAATCTAAACGCAAACTAAATTAGGCTGCTATATTCAGCTATACGGTTTTTCTACAACAGACAGTACCCGGCACATCTTCTCAGATGGATGCAGAAGTTCGCATTAAACCCGCAAGGCTGGAAAGGCCAAAGTCCGAACAGTGGTTCCTGGTCATGCTTATCTCATTCTGCATTCGCCACCCTCAACAATGGCTTGCGCGCTTAATGCGGGTAAGTCTCCTGTGCCACATCGTTCACATGGCCAGTGTATACGCATATACACATATCAAGAAAAATGTCTGATACAATAAGCGGGTGGAATATAGTAAGCTTCAGAATGTTTTGCATAAACTTTGTGGCGCTAAACTGATCTGCCTGACGATCGACTCTGCCGCCTGCTCGCCAGCCACCTGTCAAGGCTCTGCCGGCCACAGTTCGGAAACATACCTCAGCCTTATCGATACCCACCGGCCTGTCAATCAATCCAATCTGAAACGAAGAGAGAAACCCCCAGACCGCCCTGCCTGGAATGCTTGGATCACTTCCGGGTCAATTGGCCACTCCCTCATTTGGACGCCGGCGCGAGCCAGCCTGGTGGTGATTTCTGCTTCGCGCACCAACTCCCAGCGACGCAGCCTGGGCCAAACATGACAGTCCAACAGACTCAGGCATCAAGTGACATGATCTGCCTACACTGTGTTGACAGGGGCCGATGTGAATGCAGGTGGCCGTTCAGGATCTCCCTCGCGCGACATTCGCTGCCTGAGGCAAGCATCCACCCTGTCGACGATCGATGAACCATTCGTTGCGTTCGTTGAAAACGAAGAGTTGCCGGCGCCAGACTCGCCATCTTCTGCGGCACTTGCCAGAACCACTCTGACGTGATCGTGCTGCAGCAAGTTGGAGCTTGTGGCGTGGTGCCCGTCGCAAACTTCCTCTGCGTGGACTGCGCGGAGAAAGCCGAGACCCACCACAAGGTTCAAAACTACTGGCCGCCAGGCCATCGCGTTAAATGACGTAGAAGGTCGACTAAAATATATAATAAGACCGACCGGTGGCTCGAGATCGGGCTGCGGGTTCCGATCTTGTCTGGGGCTCCGTATGTGTCCAGGCAACACAGCACTCAAAAGCAGCACGCCCTCCTTTTTGAGACTGTCCGGAGCTCGTTCCGCTGGAGCCCCCCTCACTGATCCGCCTCGCCCCGTACCTGTTCCAGGGACTGTCACACACATTTGTGGCGGTGAAACGCAAGCCGGCAAATCAGTATGACGAGACATCTGATACAAAGTACGAGTATGATCACAGTACCCATGCTCAATCACAAGGTATGAGCATCCACGCTCAAAAGAATGTATGTAGATGCAGGGTAGCGCGCTGCTCAACTTCCCCAGTGGCGCGCCCTTTCATCGCGTCAACCAGTCACGAGACAGATGAGACAAGGCAATCCATGTGAGCCTGAACCAAGGCCTGTCACTCTGAGACATTGCGGCAGAGCGACTTCAGCTCTAGCACAGCAACGACACCGTCTGCAGCTTGTTTCCGAGCGGCATAGGATGGCTCTGCGGCACCGTGCTTTCATTCTGCATGCGATATCCTGCTGTCATGCGAGTCTCAGTAGCTGGAAAATGTTCCCTCACGATAGAAGCTAGCAGCCATGCCAAGAGGTGTGCAATGTTTGGATCTGCAGCACCCGCCTCTGGAAGTCGCTTTCACTGTTGCAGTTGGAATGACACAACCTTACGTCCCACGACACGGCGATTTTGTGATGATTCTCATGATTGATATGATAAGTGTTTCAACTATGGCATTCTTGGTATTAATATTGCTGCGCATGCAAATGCCTCGCACATTCCGTGCTTGCAAATTCTGTTCGAAAGCGAGGCAAGTTTGCCGGGAATGTCGCACCTGCAAAACCCTCGCAAATACCGTAGTACTCGCATTCCGCTCACGCGTCGGGGCTCCAGCGGCAGTTCAGGTTTCAACCCGCTCCATGCAAAGGTATCCGGCCCGGCTGTTCGAGCGCACCTGTCCTGCCGTCCCTCTCCGAAGTATCAAGACGATTGCAAGGTGAGGCAAGCCAGAGCTCACCCACATGGCTGTCGGAATCAGCTTCATGTCTATCCTCACATTGCCCAACATGTGCAAGCCGCGTACGTAGCGGGTTGTCCTCGTCTTCTGCGCGTACAAAGGCTTGCAGATGATGCTATGGTACTCGAATTCCGTACGTGCGAAGATCCTCGCAACACTGTGACAGTCGCACTTTACGCCTGCAAAATAATCGCACCTATCATAGTGACGGAATTCGGCCTGTACAAAACACCAATTAACTGCAGAACCTTGGCGAATATCGGAGTGGCGGACCCTCCTGTTTCTCCGCTTTGCCAATTCCCACTCCCCCTATGACAACAAACGATACCGCGCCACCGGCGTGGCTCAAGCTACGAGCAACAAAGCGGCAATGAGCTGTTTCTTCAAGCTGTGACGGATCGGCGGGTTCGTATCTCGTGGCGTGCGGAAGCTTTCTTACATACAGCCAGGGGACGAGCGCATGCTCCGCTTCTCACACACTCGCCCGGCCGCCCCATGCACAGACACACATTGACTCACCGCCCGCACGTTGCGACGTACATGGAAAGCTTGTGATTTCAACCTGCCTTTTGCTGGCAGCTTGTGGGTTAGGACGGTTAGGAGAAAGGGAGCACTAGCATACTTATTATGTTTTTTCTATCGACTTTGCTGGGCCTTGGGATTACGCCCAAGCCTTCTGACAAATTGCTTGTTGTGATTACTTCTGAGTGCTCAGGGGCCATCTGAGGACATGATGTCTGCGCGAAGACTGCTCGATGATTGCTTTTGGGCGCGGTCCCCTTCAAAACCAGCTCAGAAATGAAAAGATGGGTGGGGGACCGTGGGGGAGCGTGGGCTATGTCGGCGCTCGAGAATAGGAGAGGTGGCGGAGGCCTGGGGTCTAGGGTGTTCAAATGTGGCTGCAACTAGCAAAGGGATGTGCGTGTATGATGGGAGGTGCGCTGTGGGATTTGAGGGTCGATGCTCGTGTTGCAAGTGGTCTGTGGAAAACTTTTCTCAACTTCGCCGCTGGCATCCACCAAATTCGCCAAACGGCAACTGCATGTGAATCAGGGTCATGACGGATTTCCGCACTAGGCTGGGCGCCCAAAGAAGAGGGCCTGGTGGGAGGCTGAAGACGTACCTGCAAATTAGCCACGGGCACCCCAACATAGCAAACAATTTCAAACGCTTGTGAAAAATGGATCATCGGATGTGGCACTGTTCCAGTGCTCGCACTGCTGCCGTGCCTGACTCAACGTCCCTGGAGAGCGATTGTTTCAAGCCGAAATTGGCACAACCTGCTGCCACTGGCCACTGGAACTCTGAGATGGAAAACTAGTAGAGATTCGATGCGTGTTTTCTGAAAGGCAGCCGGTTGAGTGACAAAGCACTGGAAATCGTAGGTTTTGCTGGCGCTTCTTGGGCTCGAAAACAGGACGGAGTTTTCCGACATTTTTTGAGTTATCTGTGAGGCAAAAGAAACAGATGAATCCACACCTCTCGGGCCCAGCGAGTCAATCCTTTGGCCAGATGCCGCAAATGTTTCCGCAGATGGTGAACCCATCGGGCAACGCTTCCTGGCCCATGTTTCGAAGCGGTTTGCCCCAAGGAATGTCATTGGGGAGGCTGGCAGTTGCGCCGCAGAAAAGCCTGCCAAACCCAAGCCCTGGCACCCCACTTGCGTTCCGACGCAGCAAGTTCTGCCCATGAATGGTGGAGCTAGCATGCCCTGGAGCAAAAGAACGTTGGACGACGGCTGAAGACGTTTCAAAGGGCTCAGACACATGCTACCTGGTTGCTTAAGACAGCCCTGTGTGAGGCAGCAGGCTTCTGCTGATGCCGTGTAAACACACACAAGGCGCCAAGCGCTCACTCCTACTTCTGAGGGCGGCGCGAGACAACCGAACCAACCACCCGGAAGCCGACCACTCACAAAGAACCTTGGGTGAGCAGGGTGCAGAGAGCCCGGAAGGAAAATGTCCCAGACTGGGTGCCAAGATCCCTCCATGGGCCTGTGCAGTCAAATCGGCCAGTTGCGCCCGGATGATTTCGCACAGCTCATGAACAGTATGCCCCCAAGGTTGTTGTGGCAAGAGCCAAAGCTGAAGCCTTGGAATTGGCGCTCGCGGCACACAAAGCAGAGGCGGATGAGCAAGCCAAGGATGTGGATGGCTGGTCTCCGATTTCGTCCAGACGGTGGTCTCTCCTGCAACCCTGGATTGCAATATTCATGCACAGGTGTTGGGGGAGACCCTGATGTCTTCCCTTTCCAGTAAAGGGAACCCATACCGGCAACTTTGGATGTCTACTTCGAGTGTGTGTGCGACAGGTGAACCTCAATGTCCCGAAGAGTGAATCCAAGGTTTCACCAAGTGGTTCAAAGCCATCTCCTGGAAGAGTTCCAGCGAAAAAAAGGTTGAGAACCCCTCGCTTGGGCAACAAGTTGCCCAAGCAGTAGCTGCAGGCGGTGAGACTGCCGCTATTGAGGCCCAAGCACGAGTGAGCCAGCCACCCAGGCAACAATTGCGCCCTTCAAGATTTCGGGCCACAGCTTTGAGGATTACGGTATTGATGCGCCATCCTTCAAAACACTTTCAGCACACGACGTTGATTATTAGTGGCACAAAGCCGGAAAGCAGATCCGGTTCGACGTGAACTCCCCTTTGAAGTCAGCCATGACCCCATTTGAAGTCGCTTTGGAGCGTATGGGGAGCCGGAACATGTCCGATGAGATGTCTAGTTCAAGATGGCTACGGAGGCTTGGGGACCCGCTGTTCCAAGCAGCAAGCTCCTGAATTGAAACGTTGGCGAGGGCGCTGGCGGTGAAATACTGGCAGGGATCGTGACTATCTGATGAAGTGGTGAGGGGGGCGGGCCAGCAGAACACATACGGCGGGCGCGTGCCATGCCAGCTGCGTATCGTTTCAAGTGCCGGGCAGTTTTCAGGGCCATGCTTGCTGTTGCAGTTTTGGGGATAGTGGGAAATGCCACGGTAGTGAGGCCCGGAGGCTGAGACTTTGAGACACTTTTCGCAATTCGTGTTTTGGCGATGCCAGTCGCAGTCGAGCTCCTTTCCCTATCAACTTTCGACATCTTTCGACCATGATACTTGACTCGTGACATACATACAGGCGTGGGATCGGGGTCCGGGTTGGGCTCTTTTTGGTGATGTCCGGCGCGGTGGGCGCTCGCGTCCATCCCGTCTGCACGTTTCAAAGACCCACTTGTCAAACTTTGAGCATGCAAGTTATCCCCTTCTCGTTCTTTATTCTGCGGTTGCATGATGAAGAGCCGTGCTGCTCTAATATAATATTTTCGAAATCCCAGCCCTCCCACCCTTCTTCAATGTTTGAGGAAGGAAAGCGTACGTTTCCAGCTTGCAGTCAGGGGGGGCTCTTCGGAGCTAGGGGATCTCTTGATGCTTCGCGCCCTTGAGCTGCGCGTAGTGCGTGCGTGCAAAGGCCCATCTCACTGAAGCAGCGTTCACATGTTTCCCCGCTTGCACCGCTGAAAGCCGAAGAAGTTCGGTCGGACTGCTTGGCTCTTCTGGAATTCTTCACGCCAGGTGGTTCCTGTCTTCGTGCAAGCGTTTCCAACAAGAAAAGAGACCGGACAGCTTCTCACAGCAGATCTGTCACAGGAGTGTTCAGCTGTACACGAGATTGAGTGAGTGAGTGAGTGAGTGAGTGAGTGAGTGAGTGTGTGTGTGTGTGTGTGTGTGTGTGTGTGTGTGTGTGTGTGTGTGTGTGTGTGTGTTTGTGCTCGCGTTTGCGTTTGCGAATGCGTGCGTGTGCATGTGCATGCGTGTGCGTGCGCGTGCGCATGGGCGTGTGCAACAACTCACATGTGTAAACTGGAGCTCAACCTGCAGTACTGGTCAGGTTCCAGGCCTGAGTTGGGAAAGTGTTCAGATCCATGAACGAGTCGACGGTGACGATAGCTCTGGAGTCCTGGGCATGGGTTCATGGGCAAGTGAACCTTGCTGCTGAGTGCTTCCTGATGTCCTTCAGTATGCATCCTCCGATGGTGCTGAGAGAGGTTGCGATCCATCCGAGATGGTGACCTTTTGCCTGCAAGCAAGAACTCGTCAGCCTGAAGCTGAACCTGACTTCACATGACTTCCACTCCTTTGAATCGGAACCTCAGCTTCCGATCCTGGTCAAAGGGCAAGAGTACGACCGCGAATCCCTGCAAGCCTGGCCTTGGTAAAATGTCGAGCAGTAGCCGCAGCTGGTCGCAGCAGGTTTTGAGGTGCAGACTTGCAGCCATTTTCAGAGAAGCCCAACTCCTTCATGCCCACTCTCCCTATACATGTGACAATGTGGCACATCTCGTGGAGGCACGCGTGAGCCATCTACCTTCAAGCACACCTATCCGACAGAAAGTGCGAGCTCAAGCAACACTCCTTATCTTGTCTCGAAGCACCGGCTCATCAGTACCTGCATTCACTCCGAAACTCACACTGCAAGGGATGTGGCTTGTTGCTCGACCTGCCTTCTCGTCGTCCGTGGTACCATCGTCTGTGCTCAAGCCAGAAGGCCAGACTTCCATCCTCCAACACGGCAGTGAAGGTTTAGGGTTTTCCGGGTACAGGGTGCAGGGTTTAGGGTTTTAGGCTTTAGGGGGTCCAATAGAACTTGGCTGGGCTCAATCTCGACGGGCATTCGGCTAGACTCTCGGCATCGAAGCGATATCTGTGATCCAGCTGTGTGCTTCTGCGAGGAAGACTGCCAGAGATGGTAAAGATAATTTCGACGTCTTGGAATCGCCTGCATCACGAAGCACAAGTGGTTTCTTGCGAAGAGATCAACACCATGCTGTTGTTGCTACAAAACACAATTCCAATATCCGCCCAGGCCTCGGGCCGAAGGTGTATAGGTTGTCAAAACAGGCACCCCCCTCTCGGCCCTTTTTTTGCTTCAAATGGGTACCCCCCCCTAGGAGACGAGGGTCCGCAAGCGGATGTCTCGCCAGGACCAGAGGCAGTTGCAGCCCATCCCAGCAGGGCGCTTCCTGACATCCCCCTACCCCCCCCACGTCCTGGGTCCGCAAGCAAAATGGTTCGCCAGGAGAACCAGCTGAACGGCGTTGTTCCCCCCCCCACCCCCCCCCCACCCCCCCCCCCCCCCCACCCCCCCCCCCCCCCCCCCCCCCCCCCCCCCCCCCCCCCCCCCCCCCCCCCCCCCCCCCCCCCCCCCCCTCCACCCCCCCCCCCCCCCCCCCCCCCCCCCCCCCCCCCCCCCCCCCCCCCCCCCCCCCCCCCCCCCCCCCCCCCCCCCCCCTCCCCCCCCCACCCCAACAGTCGCCCACCCTACGATCACTCCAAGCCGAACCCTCAACCCCAAAGCGTGAACCTTGAGCCCTAAACTAACCCTCAACCCCAAACCCCAAACCATAAACCATAAACCCGGAACCCTCAACCCTCAACCCTCAACCCAACCCTTATTGCTTGGGGTCCAGCGACTTGGGCGCTGCGGAATCACCATGCTCACGCGGATGCGCTGGGCCGGGCCGAGGCGGGTCGCGTAGCGTTAAAATTATGGATACTTCCTGCTGCTGGGCATCGTCTGGCTAAATTTGTTTCTGTCCACAAGCTTTCAGGGTTACCCCATCGTTATTTCATGCCCGGGGCACTGGAGACGGCCCCCTCCAAAACATGAAACCCCAACAACGCAAAACAACAATGATGAGATGATGCTACAACGAAGAGCGGCACAAGCAATTGGTTTAATACAAAAATGTTTTTCCATTTGAAAGTGCTGCATAGGCGCCAGAAATGCTAGCTGCTAGCATCCTCGAAGAAGACAAGGAGTTATGCGATTTTCTAGTTTTGCTCTGAACGCTCCCTGAGCAAAGATTTCGAAATCTAGCACACTCTTAAGCAGTGAAAATTGACACAAGGTTCCAAGATTGTCTGCCGACCCTAGACCCTAAACCCTAAACCCTAAACCCTAAACCCTAAACCCTAAACCCTAAACCCTAAACATGGCGAATCGCGTGGCGAATCTTCTTCCAACGACCTCGAACGGCTTCTTTGCTCGGCACTCTTCCGGAGAAACCGTGAGGAAAGTCGGAGCTGCGACTGGGTCCAGCAGCCTCGCATGCCTTCACACGTGCATACAAATGTATGTATGTATACATGTATACATGTATACATATATACATATGTATACATGTATACATATATACATATATACATATATACATATATACATAGATACATATATACATATATACATATCTACATTCATAATCGTAGAAGAGGGTTCATCACATTAGTGGCCAAAGGGATCCTCACGTGTTGCTGGGCCTTTTCCACACACACAGGGTGTTTCTGTGGAGGAAATCGGTGGCCGCCCTGCCTTGGGCAGAGGCAGCAAAGAGCTAGTGAAACATGGATGTGCAGGCCGCGTCATGAAGGAAGCTTGTGGCATGGCAAGACACAAACAACCTAATTATGCTTCACAGCAAGATTCTTGCTTGCTTTGCCCGCAACTGCTTGCCGGGATGAGGTGCTGTAGCGTAGGTACGCACATGGGGGCCGGGTTCACATAAGCCTCCGGGGGAAGGAATTCTAAGCCGAAACAGACACTCTACTCGCTGCTATGTGATTGTCGCACATATTATCTTAGCTTTATGCGTGTTGATTCGGGCACCTGGTTTTACGGCGTGTTGCTCTCGTTCATCACAACGAGGAGGTTATCATCAGGTCGTCTTCAAAGACGATCTCCTTGTCAATCACGAAGTCCGCCTTAACATCTGTAACCAGTATGTCCTCTTCAACCATGAGGTCCGCTGCCTCGGCGTCATCCCTGTGGGCTTCTCCATCGGCCTGGACTTAGCGTGGCAACCCCAAAGCTTCATGGCCGTTGTTACATGGAAAGAAGCTTTGCTTTGGGCCATTAGGCTCTGGACGTAGAACTCTCTCTGGGCCGGGCATTTCTTGCACGAGAAGCATTACTAACTGCTTGAAATGAATTTACCGCGCCTCAAACCAGAGACACATTTGCTCGAGGTCGTTCTGGAATCTAACGAGCCACCATAAGCCGGTAAGGGCGAAAGCAGAGGGAAGAGCCAGCATTGAATTGAATATGCCGTACAAGCCTCCAATGAACCAGCTGAGCGCATCTTCTTCCGCGACATTCGAGAGGAAGATGGAGACCACGCACATGCAGGCCAGTAAGAATATTGACACGATGGGGACTCCGATGGGGCATCTGAGACTTCTCGGTAGCAGCAGAAGTACGATCATTAAGGGCAGTGCACCTAAGACCGTCGACAAAGTTGACAAGAAGGCAGACCTCACCACCTCAGCTTTTTCACGTAAGAACCCAGCTTTTTGGTTTAACGGGGTTTATAATGGAACCTAATCTCCCAAAAAAAGGGAATAAGGGCCTGCTCTGGGTCCTAGCTTTTTTAGTAGCCGGGCCACGAGCTCTGCCACGCTGCCGAAGGATTCGCAGTCTGGGCCCTGGCCCGGTGCCAGGGCCCCGATGTTGCAGAACGCGGCCATCACGGCCCACTCGCTGTAGAGCTCGCAGAAGATGAGCAAACCTCATTTACAAGGGGGGTGTGGCCCCTGAATCTTATTTTTAGGCTTGAGAAAGGGTTGAAAATTGAAAAAGACCATGGCACAACAGTGACAGCAAGAACAGTAACAATAATATGCATAAGTGGCTCTGAAAAGTGCAGGAGTGCACGAGGGAGGGCGCCACGACCCGGTTCCAGGAATTGTTGGCCCAGAACAGCATCCGGGCTTTCTTCAAGGTCGTGGCATTCTTGAAGCGCTGTACAGCGGCCATGGCCTTTGCGTGCGCAATGGTTGGCCCCACTGCATCATAAATCTTCTCCAGTTCGTCAAGCTTCTTGCCTGTCTGGTGGAAGAGAAGCCTTGAAAACATCGCCCGGGACAGGCTCCGCGAGCTCAAAAAGAGTGCCCGGTACTCCATCATAAGTGTCCCGCACACCTGCTTGCAGTCTGAACATTTACGCCGCCTTACCTCCTTCCGAGATTCCCGCTGATTGCTTTGACTGTTTTGATTGCTTTGGCCAACCACTTCCCGTAGCTTTGCTAGATAGTCTTTGTGCCTCTTGTCAGCTTGCCTCGACATCACCAGCACAACGATTGCCATCAACAATGCTGTCCAATGAAGCACGGCTGGCAAAGAGCCAGCCCAATGCCATCGCGCAAGGTTTTGCAAGCCCTCCAAGGAGAGGATGCTGGCTGCTGCTGAGCAAAGGATCACTGCTATGATGGTTTCAAGCACAAACGCGAACAAGGACAAATGCGTTGTTTCGCAAACTGCTCTCTCGCCATCCACTGCCAGGGTCGAAATGCCATCAGTCGACCACCTGCCGGCTTCCACATCCCAAAAGACACAGCTGCCTCTGCTCTTCGCGCCTGTGACATTCTCATTCAAAGGTAGGGAGAGCTGAAGCGGGGCGGTCAAGGGCCCAGTCCACTCAGTGCCATCTGCTTTAAACAGCACCACGCTCACGGGCGCGCTGCCCAGCGTGGTGTTCACGGAGGCTTCCTGCAAGACAGTGACGATCTCGGACTGCTGGGTGAAGTGGGCAAGTACCAGGGATGCCAGCCCGCCATCAGCTGCGGCCAGCACCAGCACCCTGGGCAACGTCACTACCAGATCACCATCCGAGATGTTGAACTGGCTGGTGTTTCCGGATGACTTTATGGCAGCAGCAATGGCGATGACGCCATCAGCATCCCTCCTGATTTCCACCACTTCCTCCGAGGACGAAGCCGCCAATGCAAAGGCGTGCTGCGCCAAGCTGGCCTGCTCCGCTTCGATATCCTCAATCGCCGATGCCGCCGCTGCGGTGGCATTGCCTGTGGCAGACGGCCTAGAGCCGGTACTGGAGGTAGTGGTGGAAGAACTGGTGACAGAAGTGCTGCCGGGCGTGCTCAGAGACATGGTAACGGAGGTTGTGGTGCCGGTGAGGGTATCAGTGGAGGTGGTGGCAGCGGTAAAGGAGGTAGTAGACCTGGCCGTGCCAGTAGAACTGGAAGTGGCCGTGGCAGCGTTGCTCACGGTGGCGCTGGACGTGGCGGAGGCAGTGGAGGAAGTGGCGGTAGAAGTGGCGGTGGAAGTGATGCTGGAAGTGATGCTGGAGGTGATGCTGGAGGTGGACGTGGTGCTGGAGGAGGTGCTGGAGGAGGTGCTGGAAGTAACGCTGGAAGTGCTACTGGAAGTGATGCTGGAGGTAGTGCTAGAACTTGTGGTGGCGGAAATGTTGGAGACTGAAATGGTGGCGGTTGTGGTTCTGCTGGAGGCGGTGCTTGACATGGTGGTGGCCGTAATGCTGGTGGTGGCGGTGCTGGAAGTTGTGGTGGTTGTGGTGGTCGTGGTGCTGCTAGCGGCGGTGTTAGAGATTGTGGCGGAAGTGGTGCTGGAACTGATGCTGGAGCTGGAGGTGATGGTAAAAGTAGAGGTGGTGCTAGAACGTGTGGTCATGGTTGCAGTGGAGGTTGAAGACGATGTGGTGGCGCTGGAGGTTTCGGTGGTGCTGGAGGTGGTTCTACTGGTCATGGAGGTCGTGAACGACGTGGAAGTCGTCGAAGAACTGCTTCTCGTGGTGCTGGTGCTGGTGCTCAGGCTGCTCGTCGTGGTGGTCGTGTGGAGAGCTGCCACAATGATGAGGTCATCGCCTCCTGCGTTGGAGAATCCGGACCAAGACCCGGTCGTGTAGCCGGTGAAAACAAAGTTGTTCGTGCTGTCTAAGTGGAGGCTGGCTGAGAGGTCCCTGGCGCCGGTGCCGTAGATGGTGGTGCTATCCCAAACACCATCAAGGTCCAACTCCATTACGAAGGTTTCGTACTCTCCCCCGGAGGTGTGCCCATCCAGGTTCCCGTTTGTGTAGCCGCCGACAAAGATCCGACTGTTGACCAAATCCTCGGCAGGAAGGCCAGGTTTGGGCTGCTGACACACTTTCGAAAAGCACAACTTCAAGGATCTTCAAGCCAGTGCAGACTTCCGAATCCAAGGAAAAGGAAGGTTTACCGTCGTCATGGTTCGAGCGGCGCAGCCATGTGTCTAAACCCCTTAAACCCTTAAACTCTTTGAGACTTTCGGATTGAGGCTGCAGGGCTTTGTATTGGCTCGACGCAACCCTGCTCATTAAGGATCCTTCTGGGGGTTCGCAATACATGCGACCCAAGATTCAAGCTCCAGGCTGTTACCCCAGTCATGTTGAGTGGATCCGCGCTGCTTGGCCCACAGCGCACTTCCATCCGAGCCATCCAGCTTCATGAGAACTAGATCACCTTCGCCTGCATTTGTGTACCCCGACCACGAACCTCTCGTATTGCCAAACACGTAGATGTTGTCGCTGCCATCGACCTTCACCGCCCTTACCGTATCATCCGCCGTGTCAGTCGAACCAAACTGTCCTGTCCAGAGCCAGTTCCCACTGCTATCCTTGGTAGCCCAGCAACCATATTACAAAAAGGCTACCCTTTTTTGGGCTGGTTGCTGTATAAGGGAACTTTGAAAAACAACACAAGGCAACAAGGGGAACCACAGGGCTGCCAAGCATCATACTTGGAGACTACGAAGTCCCCACCTCCGGAAGAAGAGTGGCCATCCAGTGCGCCAAAAGTGTCACCACCCGCAATGATGTTGTCACCGGAGTCAATGGTGACGCAATAAAGCGTGTCCTAGCGCCCGAACCCCAAAAGGCCCCCACAAGATTCTAACAGAAAGGGATGCTGTGCGGGGCCCAGTTTCCCGCGCAGTGGAGCTTCAAGGACTTCAGATGTTTGGTATTTTGTTTTCTGGGGTGGTATGTTGGGAACCCCAACATGGGATGTACTCTCATCCCGAACACGAAGGGTCCTTGGAGGTAGTGCCCCTCTGGCTGGTCCACTGCCATGTGCCGGCACTGCTAAACCTGAGGGAACTTGGGAGATCCCCCGAAGAGGACCCCCTGGTTCTTAGTAGGGAATGAAGGAATGAGGGCATAGGGCCCTCGTTATTCCCTACTGAGAACCAGCCAGAGGAAAGCCGAAGAATGGCAGACGGTCGTTGCAATTGTGGGTGAACATTCCGACACGTAAAACGAACAGTGCCCTCAAACCCTAAAAAGGGATTACAAATAAGGGGTACTATAAGCCCGCTATTAAGGACTACGTATATAAGAGGGAACATCCGGGGTCAAGATGCTTCATGACCAGCAAGTCATAGTCCCCAGAGTTGCTTTGGCTATCGACATCCCCGAACGACGCGCCAGCGACAACCTGAGGCTCTGCTCTTTTTCGGTGCACTTTGCACATGAAGCATGACGCACACAAGACTTTGCGGGGGGAGTTTAGGGAGTTTAGGGACTTTAGGGAGTTTAGGAACAACAGTTTCCAAAGTACATCCTGCTGACCAAGTTGGCTGAGCTGTCCAGCGCCAGCGCGTTGAATCTGTCATCCGAGGTTCCGCCGCGCTGGGTGGTCCACTGCCAGGAGCCCGCGGAGTCCACCTTCATCACGTATCCATCCCAGCTTCCCGCGTTGCTCTGTCCATCCAGCCCACCGTTGGTATAGCCAGCCAGATAGCTGTTGCCTGAAGTATCCACCTCCAGAGCCATGCCGTAGTCGTCGGTGGCTGTGCCCCTCTGCACGCTCCACTGGTATGCTCCGGTTCCGCTCACTTTCACCAAGATCAGGTCTTTTCCGCCTGCGCTGGCGCTTGCGCCCGAGAAGTTCCCAAGCGTATCGCCCAGGACAAGCACGTTCCCTGCAGAATCACTTCGCACGCACCTGCCGAGCTCATTTTCAGCAGAACCCATCTGGTACACCCAGTCGTACCACGTCGCCGTGGCGCTGCTTGACAGGATCCACGCAAAGAAGCAACGTTTAACGTTGGCCATGGCATCGCCAGCTTCTCCCTACCCTTAAGGGGGTTTACGAACATAGGGGCACACCTAATACAGAGTCCCTTAAATAGTAGGATTCCCCTTGTCATAAGGGCCCCAATAAGGTACCCCCCCAAATATCGGAAACCCGCCTTTGTCATGTATTCCCAGTCAGCTGATTCACGCGCGCAACTCGCCCTCTTCCACTTCTGGGAGAGAACCAAGGAACCCCGAAAACCGAAACCCGTACCTTACCCGTTACCGTAGGGAGCTCTGTATCCGGCCTTCTTGACCCCTTGAGGACTTATGCAGGGCACCTTGTTCCTTCCCTACCCCAATGGACAGGCGCACAGAAAAATCGAAAATCGATCCCCAAAAGACGTGGAGCCCATAGGCCAAGGCCGAACAGCTTACGCCTTGGAAGCCCAGTCATTGCATTACACTAAGGTCACCCTTTTTGGAGTTGGTTGCTTTGTCAGGGGGCCCAGTTAAAAGACACTGCCTGCCCCCAAGCCCGGAATGTCCAAAAAAGGGGCCCTTCTCAAAACTCAGCTTACTTTGCAGCGTAAGCTAGGCCCAAGAGTAACCTAGACAGAAAAGGATGCCCTTTTTGGTTTCAAGGGGCATAGAAGGGAACCGAAGCCCCTGAAAAGGGAATAAGGGCCTCCTACTCTGGGTCCTCGTAAGCTAGGCTGGCCCGAAAGGCCCTCTGACAAACAGTCCTGAATGTGATCCTCCTAAACCCAGTACCGAAAAAAAGATAAAATGTCCCAAGGGCCTACCTGGCCCTAAACCCCAAACCCCAAACCCCAAACCAAGGGTTCTCCCCTTCAATCTCCCGCACCCTTGGGCGCCTCCAAGCGCAGAAGGTTCACGCCGACCCGCTTGGGCCACGATTCTCATGGCCCCTCCCTGGCCTTAAGTACGTAGCTATGGCCCCCAAGCCGCAAAACCCTAACCCCTAAACCCTGAACCCTAAACCTTAAACCCTAAACCCTGAACCCTAAACCCTAAACCCTAAACCCTGAACCCTAAACCCCATGAAACCCCGAAGCAATTGGCCGGCTTGCTTGCGCTGCATTGCGCCGCGGCTACGGAGAGCAGACTTCATGAAGTTCACCACTCGCAAAAGCAACGAGATATGGGTAGCTCTCTAAAACAAGGTTCTCTTCGGGGGCTCTTTTTTATGCGGGTGCCTGTACTATACACATACATAGGACCCAAGAAGGGGCCCTGAATGAGAGAACTACACAGAGAATGATCCCGCACCATCGCAAAACAACCAGCGTCTACAGGTAGCTGTGTGCTGCCATATAGCCTGCCTGCCTCCGATTTGAGAGTGTCGGACACCAGGGACGGTCATCTGCCACTGCTGAGAGGTTTTCACTTGGGTTGCTCTTCCGCAGGGACATCCCCAAATACCCAACAAAACCAAGCTCTGGTCCCCATAAAGCCTTTAAACCACCCTGACAACATGGCACTTTAGAAACTGCAACTGAGAAACCAAGATAGTCAATTCACTGCTCAAGAATGACTGAAAAAACCATCCTCATCGCGACGCATGGGTGTTTCAAAATTGAAAAAAACTTGGGTCCCCGTTGACATCCAGAAATACAGTAAAATCCCATTTAGAGGAGAGTCACAAAAAGAAAGGCATCACGAACTTTTTGGGAAACCCCCATCATCATACACCAGAGCTGCCAGATGCCATACCTGCCTCGACTCCAGGACAAGCTCTTACGGTTTGGCTTTACACGCTATTTCTGACAAGTGTTCTGACATAGTGTGAGGCAAGACGACTCGTCTTCCCAGACATTTTGTTCTTACAGTACTTGCACACAACAGCCTCAATCACTCGAGAGCAACCGTCGCAGCTAACTTTTCCGGTCGAGTGCAGCACGTTCGTCAATCTCATGCAGAGATGTGGACGGTCTTGCCACCTACCCGACCTACCCGTGCTGCAACACCGTTGAGTAGACTGAGCTGCAGAGCTTGGCCTCAAAGCAAACCTCTTCTCATGACCTCGGGATCACCTCAAGGTGTATAATGTATATGTATATACACAAAGATTCTTATGGCTGACAGTGAATGGAACGTTGCGGGGGGCCCTCCGCCCCAGCAAGGTGCGTGTCATTCTGCAGGGCCTCTAGGGCCTCTCGCAACTCCGTGGAGTGTTCCCTCTTAGTGCAACAAAGAGCACGGCTCAAAGCACCGGCTGCGTGGTCAGGGAGACTGTGTAATTCACATGACCTTTCAGAATTTCAGCATACGCAAGCGTTTGGTCAGGCACATCGCAACAGCTGCCCCCTCACCAGCAGGCAGCGTTCGCGGAAAGATGGCTTATGTCATTCTCTGCTCTGGCTCACGTCATGTCTTTTGCCTCATGGGCGTTGCTACGCTTTGCTTGCGGATGCTTTGGGCAGCTGAACAAAAGCAATCCACGACCATTGGCCGAAGGCCTTCAAAGGGCTCCCTTGCGAAAGCTGGCCCTCCTCTGTCTGGATCCATCCCAGCACAAACGGCTGCAGGCTCCTTATGCTTGTAAAGCAGACGCTGGTCAGCTCCTACGCCGATGTCTTAAAGTGCCCCATGCGCAAAAATAAAAGGTGTTCCAACTCCAGGGTTTTCAAGCGGCCGCGGCCTGCCAAGGCACTTAGTCGCGAGACCCCTCATCCCAGCAGGCTTTTCCCAGCTGTCACCAGCCAGTGGTCTTCGGTGGATTTACGCTCTCACAGATATGGCACCCACAAAAACTCTCAGAGCCAATGACGATTAGGAGGTGTCGGTCACCCTCTGCTCGCAGAACTTGGCATCTTTGCAGCGATGGCTTTTGGAGTTCTGTACGTCGTACAAAGCCAAACTAGCTCGCAGAGAGCCTGGAGCTTGCTACTTCGCTGCCTTTTCACATGAGAAGCAGGCTGGACAAGCAGCAAATGTGGCAAGACGGCAAGACCTTGCCACTATTCGGCGAGCTGTGCAAGTGCGGTGCACTACCGAGATGGATACTTTTTGAAGCATCCGCAAAACCTGGGCCCAGGGCTACGTTGCGCGCAGCTTGCGCAAGCGGTGCTTTAGAGCATTTTTGTGCACTTTGAGCTCATGCTCTCCTGGTCGCCCACAGTGATCCTTAAGGGATCTCACGGAGAATGCAGTTTGGGGGCTCCGCGGATCCCTGCGGAGCTCTGGTGAGCTGTGCTCTGCACAGTTGTCAATTCAATCTTGTGAGGGGCGCTATGGTTGGAATGCTTTGATGCGGAGCAACAAAGCATTCCAGACACTGAGAGCCTCGGCCTCGCGAACGGCACCTTGGTCCCTGGAGAAAGTGTAGGAGGGGCCGTGATGGAGAGCCAGTGACGGAAGTGAAGCATTCCTGGCAACGGCTGCCTGTGAGGGAGATATCGGAGATATCAGTCATGCTTTGTCCCGACAAAGGCATGCTTGGGTCGCGCACGCGAAACAAGGCACGTGATGCTAGTGTCGGACTTGCTGACCAGCTGTTAGGCTGTTGGCAAGCTACCACGGACCTGATGCCACCAGCGTGATGCTCCGAAAAAGGCACCTCGCCTTCGATGCGTCGAGCGTGTGCCACTCCATGGGACAACATGAGAATGTCTGTGCTGAGGACGAGCTCTGCTGCGACATCGCTTCACCCCAACCGTCGCAGCACAACCCGGCATACACACAGGGAGTCCCTTCAGGGCAATTTCTTGTCAGAACCGGCCCACATACAGTCTGGAGGCGAACGCATGGCAATCGGGCTCTGTCGCCACTGGCAGGGCAGCATGCCAACTCCTAGTGCAGAGCTGGAACACATAATGGGGCACAGAGTTGTTGACAGCTGATTCATTGTCTTCTCACTTCCTCATCTTGAAAGAGCTCTGCAAGCACCTTGCTGGGCGTGAAGCCATCACATGACCCTTCGCCGCAGCAAGGTGCCAAGAATTATCCTGGAACTGTACCACACACCTCGGCTTCTGCAGGCCGCTTGAAGGCACAAACATCGCCACTTGCGCCATGCTTGCTGCAAGACCTCGTAGCCATGCAGTAGCTTACCCTGATGCTGGCACTCACAGCAAGCTGTCCTCGCGCTGGGGGTGGCCAGCGACTATGATTCCTATGCACAGTTCGATCTTTCTTGAGATCGACCATTAGTCCGGGGCACACCAAAACACAACGTGCAGCCGCCCGGCGCTTACACTATGGCCGATGCAGGATACGTCTTCAAGTAACAAGGTATGTCTCAACGTCGAAGATCCTCGCTTAGGGGCCGAACAGAAGGGACCCCCCAAAGGCGTACCGCCAGCCGACCTTGAACGAACCTTGTAAGCCCAAAGTCTCCAAAACGAACCTCGGCGAAGTCAGGTGACGTCGACGAAGGCAGGAGAAACGTTTGCGAAGCTGCGTTTGCCGAGATGAAGTTTTTCACTTCCAACCTCTCAACGTGACCCCGAACAAGCCTCGAAGAAGGCGGGGGAGCTTCGACGAAGGCGCGCAGGTTCGACGAAGGCCGGCAGGCTTAACCGAACCTTGTCCAAGGTTGGCGTGGCGGTCGCCCCTTGGGCGGGTCCCGTGCGTTTGCCCCTGATCTCTCGGGGGCCCAGTCACTTCACTAGCTGCCAAACCCCTTCACAGACTTTACGTAGGGCCTACAATGGAAGACAAAGCGTGACAACTCCCAACGATCATCGAAACAAGCCTGTTGATGCAAGCGTTAATGTCGGCGCCAGGAACATGCATGTCCTCTTGCGCTTGGAATGCAGGCTTGCTGCAAAGATGACTTGGCATTTTGTTGAGTACGCCTGCTCAGACTTCTGCTCTCGTTGTGACAAAATGTGCCTTCAGCATCCGATGTGTCGTCAACCCTGGTCTGTCAGAACCCACATGCGTCTTTCCAGCTCAGGCTGGGAGGCTGCCACGAGAGCTGACTGCTAGCAGACGAGCACCCACATTCCCCACGGATGCGTGTGCGCAGGAACACTGCCTGGTACAGAAAGCGTTCTCACACAGCCACGAGAAACGGACCTTTGGTGACACGCCTCTTGCCAGTGAAGTAGCTCCGCCAATTCGACATCGCAAGCCCAATGCATGCTCTGCACACAGCTCAATGAAGGACACTAGTCAACAAAGCCCGCCATCAATGTAAATCATGGTTTGCATGGCTCTGACATGCGTGTCGGAAGAGCTTGCCCTTTGCTTGCATGCTCTGGCGCGTGCAATGCCTGCATCTGCAAAGATCAGTCTGCTGCAAGTAGGCGGGCTGTCGCCAAAGCATGCTCAATGCACCAAGCCCCCTTCTCTCGCTTCGTCCGTGTCATGGCCTAGGGCCGATATTGGCAGAATGAGAGAGCCATAATTGGCCCTAAACCCTAAACCCTAAACCCTAAACCCTAATTAACCCCAAACCCGAGACTTGGGTTATGCCTGAAAATACCGTCTGCCGCGCGGCGAGGGTGACGTGGCTATCGCACTCTAGGCAAACGCACTTAGGGTTGAGAGTTTATAGGGGGGTCCTCTTCGAAGCGTGCCGTATACTTTCTGTAGGGCTTAGGGAACTACAGGGGAGACCCGACGAGATTCTTCACTCAGAGGGAGATTTTAAATTTGCGTGGGAAGCTGTACCAAGCCGACGGCTCGTTCTGAGATGTGCCTCGCAGGGCGGCTTGTTGAAGAACAGCGCACGGAGGGCCGGGCTGCTCTCTTTCAACAACCTCACACCACACTTGGAAATCGAGCCGGTGGCCGCCGGTGCTGCCTGCTGAACGCGAAAGGCCGAATGGCAACAGGCACATGAGCCTGAGCACGAGCCCCGTGAGAAGTACTAAATTTGCTAAAGTTTGTCGGAACAGGTTGATTGAGCTGAGCCCAGACACGATCTGATGCCGCAGCCGCAGCGACTCAGCCGGGCTGGAGTCAGCTGCACCACGCGCGCTACGCGGGATCAACCTGGACAGCAGGACTCGATGGTGTTCAGAAGCCAGGGCACTCGGCCCGGGACGGGGTGAAACCTCGTGGAGCACGTCGCCGGAGGCCACGGCAACAATAAAAAATCGGGACAGGCCCCTAAGCCCTAAACCCTATATATTAACCCCTGAACCCTTGCCCAGGAAAATCAACGCAGAGGAGTCAAGCGAGGCAAGCAACGCCCGGATCAGGCTGAAACATCAACAGGTCGGCAAAGTGAGCCTTCGGTGTTTGCTAAGGTGCCGTACGTTGCATTGTGCTGAAGCCTGACTCCAGCGCCGGCCCGATGGGAGCGTCCTCTCGCTTTGGCTTGGCTTGCCGGAATCCTCAGCGGCACAGTTGCCGGCGAGGGAGCCGCAAGGGATTGAGCCATTCCTCCTGCCGCATGCGCCAAACGCCTTGAGTTTGACAGAACGTGGCAGTGCAGCCTGCATTGACAGCTCAGACACTCCAGTAGTGTTGTGCTCATTCTATATGCAAGGGTGCGCAAGAACACCTTCACAGCTACAGCTTTGGCCGAGGGCTGGCATCCTCAAGCCACGTACCCAGAGCTCTCAAGTTGCAACTTGAGGCGCCAGCAAAGGAGGCCCACATGGTCCAGGCATGGGAAGGCACAGCCTGTAGCCTCAGAAGCAGGGAGACGGGGAGGCGACTCCACAATGGCAGCCGGTCTGCATATATAATACCCCCCCCATGGACAAACGTTGCATCAGCTGTTACCATGTCAAACTGGCATGGAGAACACATGAGGTTGCAGAACGCAGAACGTTTCATGGGATATCTCTCAAGGTCTCACAGACATGCGCAGAACACTAAAGGCAGAAGAGGGCAGATAATGGAGAGTGCGCGTCATGCAAGGCTTGCAGAGGCGGTCTGCGAGGCTTGCGCTAGAACCGTGTTGCCTGCAAGCTCAAGCATGCTGGCACAATCCGCCGTGGCAGACGCGCAAGAGGTGGTTGCCACACCGGCTATAGCAAGAGCATCGTCAGTCATGCGGGCATGGGCTCTGAAGTCTCAAGAGGATCAAAAACCTGAGATCACCAGCGGTGACCCGCGCGCCATGCATGCCCAGCAGAGGCGTCATTGAGTGATTCTTCATGGCACATACACCGAATCAGAAGAAACAGCACTACAGGAAGTTAAGCCCTAGTGCGACCGATTTCAACCACAACTCGACTCGCCTGACGAGTTTCCAGACGCAGTTGCTTCAAATCGCTGGTGTGTGCTGTTGGGGCTCTACGAGCATAGGTATCAAGAGGACTTGACAAAGTGAATCTGAACGGTCTTATTGCTTGATTGCATGGAACATCAAAGGGGTGGCACGGATTGTGGTGGGAAGACTAAATCCCTAAAGGGCGAAATTGGCCGGCCCAAAGATAGACACCGCGAACTTTCTGGGGGTTGTCGTACCGCCAGTGGGGCTAGTCACGAATTCAGGGCTTTTAGGGTTTGGGCCAAAAGGTGGAGTTGGAGAGTCCTGAACCCCAAAACCCCAAACCCTAAACCCCAATGAAAGGGAACATCCTCTGGCGAACCCAGGATGGCTCTAGGAAACTTTGAAGGCCGACCGGATTAGTCGAAGGCCGGCGAGGCTCCGCGAATTCTGCCCTGGGTGCCTCCTTTCTCCTCGCCTAGGATTGTTTGAGCCGGGTTGGTTTTGCCTAGGTACAATACGCATCCTTCTCTTTGGCACTTTGACATACTCCTTGCCTTAAGTACTAAAATGGTAGACCCAAGGGTGCTGGCCCTAAACCCTCTAAGCCTATATGAACCCTACAAATGGACCCCATTTGAAAATCCTGGAAATGCACGGTGAGGAGTGGAGACATGGGTGTTAACATGGGAGGTACCGATAGCATCGAGAGCTTTCGTAGAGCCGAAATGAGCTGAACTCCGGCGTGCGTACCAGCAAGCTCTCGTAGTCTAAGATGCTTCGTGTGGAGCTGCACTGCGATATTCAACGTTCTAGCTCGACATGCTTAGACTGGTGAGCTTCCCGAGCTTTGCGAGATTAGTGCTTCAGCAGCGGAGAGTCGGAAGACATACCGCCAGAGCCCGCTAACCTCAGAGCTTCCTCCAGCGGCCTCCTCCTTAGCAGGCGACATCTACGCGCGAATCGTATGGAAGAACAGCCTCAACTCCGCATTCCCTCTCGCAATACTCTTGCAAGATGTTGGCCGCGCATGAGCAGCCGAGGAAATGGCACAAGGTCTCGTTGTCAAATCACAAGGCCCTTCTTGGACTTCGTTGCATCCCTGGCAAACTCGCTCCGAAGCTTGTCATTGTGCTAGCAGGAAGCATGAAACCAGGAAGCATGACACCATCACTGGCTTCTGCTGAGTGTGGTGCATTGCATGACAGATCCGGCTGATGGGAACTGTGGCCGGAACGTGCGTCCCTGCACGCGATGTCGGTTCAATCTGCATGTCTTTGCAGCAATTGCTTGGTGACACAGGCACGAGCGCCACTTGAACGAACTCGCCGCCCAGAGCATGTCACCGCAGTGCAAAGCCCACTCTCTTCCAGGGTCTCGTAAAGCACGCGTGGCGGCACGAGAAGCGGACTTAACTCGCAGCCAGCCTGACAGAAATCACATCCTTCCAGTGTGGGGAAGATTGGGGAGGGAATTTCCGCACCATGGGATGCCATGCACATCAAAAGATGCTGCACCCCAATGAGGACGCTGCCTTGCATACGCCATGCGTGAAAGCTCAAACCTCACGACACCTGACCCAAGCCGATGTTTTCGGCAATGTCTACTAACAATCCTTTCAACCATAGAACGTGGACACCCGAGGTGTGTTTTTCCGATGTGAAGGCTCCCCGCGTACTTCTAGTCTGCCAGGTGATGCGACACAAAGCGACTACCCAGGAAAAATGACCCATAAATAGACGCCCGACACTGTCTGCTGGAGATGTCATGAACGCTGTGCTGGGCAACAACTAGTGGGACTGGAGCCCCCCGGGTTTGTTCTTGAAGTGCTGTACGTGATGTGACACAGGATGGGATGAACCTGAAGCCAACAAACCTTCTTATTGTGAGCCCAGTTATCGTCCAGAACATAACGCAGCCGGTGTGCAACTGCAAGCATGTGGTCGTGTGCCTGCTGCTGCGTCGGCACCCTTCCTGCGTGACGCGATGCGAGAGCCTGATGCTTGTTGGCCAACGGAGACTCGAGCTTCTCTTGATGTTAGTACCCTCGGCCAGGCATTTCAGGTTCAGAGGCCAAGTCTCAGCAAGTGCAGGCTTTAGCCGATGACTGACAGCTGGAAATCACAAGAGCTGGACGTGCCAGCGGGAGTTCTGGTGCCAGTTCAAGCCATGTCTGCTCGACCACTCAAAGGGGTGTTGAGCGAGGCTGCAGAATGCTGGACTGTTAGGTGCACGTGCCAGCCACACCTGGGAAACACGATCCTGATCTTCCGTGGCCAAAAGATCGAGACATCGGAGGTGCGCAGGTGCATGTTGCAGGCCTCAAATGAACTGCGCAACGCCAGAGGGGCTCTGGGTGTGTTGGCCCCACAGCTCCTGTATCAGCTCCTGGTTGATTCCGATGCAGCAGCAGCCTCCATCGCAAACTGCTCATCAAGCCCAGAAGATGTAGCTCGACCAGCGCGAGGAGCCATATGATGGCCCGTATGACGAAGGGAGATGAAAGCACAAACTTGCGACGAAGTAGAGGGTCGGATCCTCCGCTCGCTTGGGTGAGCCGACCAGGAAAACTTGCACATGTGAGGCTCAGACAGTGCAGAGGTAGGATGTGCATCAGGCCCCCAAACCCTAACCCGAAACCCTAACACCTAGATCTTGCACTGGTGAGCATGCGACAGTCTCCATCTTCGCCACCTGGGAACACTGCAGCAAGACGAAGTTCCAGCTCCGAAACAGCGCTCCGCATCTCCCCTTGCGTTCCAAAGCGAAGCTTATGCTTGTACTAGTCCCAAGAGTAACTCAGGAACGAAAAGGGTGCCCTTGTTGGCTTAAAGAGGGCGGATAAGGGAACCTTAACCCCCCCAAGAGGGGAATGAGGGCCTACTCTGGGCCCTACTTTACGTTCCTTCGCATAGGATCCGCGCTGCCAGGCCTAAGGTGACTAAATTGGAGTTGGCGGGGTCGTTCAGGGACTTGCTTTTCATCGACTTGCAAAACCTATGTTGTCCCTTCTCATCAGGGCAGTTACATAGAAGCGGTCCTTAGAATGTTGACATAAGTTGACCGTTTTGGCCACGGGGGGTCCAATGAAAGCAGAGGACGCGAGCTGAGGGTGCCGACCGTGGGACCCCTTCCCCCAGTGAATGCATGGACTTTCGAACTGCCCAAAAACAGCGACTTTGCTACGAAACTATGAAAATTCGAGGAAGGAACGCTTAGCCTAAGAATGCCTAGGACATCACCCAAAGTGGTCGCCGCAGGACCTCTGCTCCCAAGGAGCGCATTGCTCATGGGCTTGTTCCGGCCTTTACTTTGACACGGCGGCCACGGCAACTTGTGCTGCGACTTCAGGCCTCGTGGGGATGCTGGGCTTAGGGGCTATGGGCCTCTTGGAGTCGAAGAAAAGAAGTAGCCACGGAATTTCTCCGAGAATGTTTCGCCATGAAAGAAGCGCTTCGGTCCACTCCCTCACATGCTTCACTGCAAGTGCCTTAAGGGAACCAAACTTCTCAAAGGGCAGCTTTGAGAGAGGGGGTGGGGGTCTCGCAAGTGCTTGTATCTTCATGTTGCATGTGCAGCCCAGAAAGGGCCCTGACGAGATCCTGAACGGGGGCGCTATCTCTCAGTGTCGGGCGCAATTTCTGGCAGGGCAAGGGCAGCAAGAGCTTGGCTTCAGGGTCTAAGCGGCCAAGCTGCTCGGAATTTCCGAGCGAGTTCATCCTCTCAATACAGCATCACCGAGCTGTGTGCGAAGCTCAAAGCTCTGTGGCCAGACAAAGACAAACGCCTCACTTGGACTGATTTGATCTTAGGCCGGAGGGAGGATCCCTGTGACCTCATGATGAGCAAGACTCCCAGCATTCCTCTCCAAGTCTGCTCTGAGTCATAGCCCAAGAGTCCTCTTGAACTCCCAGGGGGTTGCTCGAGAAGCTCAACGTCAAAAGTGTCCGTCTGGGCATGAGGCCGAACCAACAAGCTCCCGACTCTCAGAGTCATTTCCACCACGCCGGCTGTCCCGCGCGCTAGCCGTCTACATCTTCTTCTGCCCCAGGAGAGGAAAGCCACCAGAACTCCTCCTCCCGAGTTGCCACAAGCAAGAGAAGTCTGAAGACCTCAAGAACGACACATCCTGCAATGCAGCTTGTGACCCCGGTGATCTTGAGAGCCGCTGCGCAAGAGCGTCTTTGCAACTCCGGGCCAACCCTGAGAGAATTGCGACGCAGCACGGTGACTTCACCGAGGCGTGCTCAATGGGCCGGCTGCCACGGGCTATCACCTTGCAGTTCTACTCGGCATGAGGCCCGATGTGGGTCTCACGCCAAGGTTCCAGCAGCATAAGCAACGTCGAGCACAGCGGGCAAAACTCTAAAGAACCTCATCTCAGCTACAAGACTTTTGCTGAGCATCTCGTCGCGCTGTCGAACAGAAGAGGAGGAGAGGCACCACAAGCCAGAACATGGTCTGGCCGTGTCCAGTCGCCTCTCCTGCCTGCCGAGCCGAATGTAGCATGCCCGGACACATACCTTGATGTTTGCTGCGGCAGTCTGCTACAAGCTGCAAGCACGGTCGCACGTCCACTGATCCTTGTCTCTTCATGCGCCTTGAGACATCGAGGGAACGTCTCCCATCAGCTGTGAGAGGCCGGCTTCAAGCGGACGCAGAAAAGGAACCAAAGACACGCTAGCAGTGCATCCCCCAACATCTGCAGGCCAAGTGGCAGCACCACTGCCACTGCATTGGCGGTGCTACAGCATGCCGGCCCACCAGCTCTGCCTGCAAAACATGCCGAACAGAGGGAGGCAACTTTCCGCCACAAGTTCAAGGCCTCAGCCTCAGACATCTGAAAGAACCTTTGATGCGCTTGAGGGCAATCGGCCGAGACACCCTCATGGACAGTGATCGCTCCACACGTAGGCTCTTGCAGTGTGGCTTCGTGTCACTTACGACGAAAGCTCCCCTTCATGTTCTGGCTGCATGTTGAAATTGCACCGGAGCAGTGGCAAGGCATCAGTTCAACAAAACCTCGAAACGCGCCTACAGGGGCAAGCACCTCATTGTAGCAGCCCAACCTTTCTGGAACCTTCCGAGCTTCGCAGTTACGAAACCTGGGATCTGCGGTTCACTGGGTGGCTCTTGACGGGCAACTGTCGCGCTGCTCGAGTTCTGGAAAACATGGTGACCTCTTGAAGAGGCTGGGAAACTGAACCGAGCTCTGCAAAAGGACCCTTTATGCCGTTTGCGCTTGCTGCTCGCGCCCCTCTGCTGTTTAAGAATACATCATGAGCTCCCAGATCTTTTACATTTTGCAGGGCGAAGAATGCGGCATCTGTTCTGCAGGCAGCAGTGATTGCGCACTCCCACGCCTGCAGGCACCGCGCTCAAGCACCGAAGACGTGCTCCGGGACGCCGAAGCCACGGCAAATCTGGATGAGATGTTGCAAAGCAGCCGGGGACGAAAGGTTAAAGGAACCCAAAGTTGCCCGAAATCGAAGCACGTTGCGGAGGAGTAGAGCAAATCTCGGGAAACACCCCCGGTTTCTTGAACCTGCCAGCGTTTCACAGACACACAGCCACCTCTGATGTCTCCCGTGTAGCCGCAAGACCGCAGAGCGTGGCAGCGCCTGCCTGTTTCTATCGTGGTACCATGGGTCCGGGTAAATAGCCCTGGCGAAAGAACGGGAATCTGCCTCCTATGGCGGTGCTGCACCCTCAAGGCCACGCCCACGCTGGCGCTTCCCCCAGAAGTGGGCTGTCCCTCAGAGGGCCGACGGCTGTCCACCTCGCCTGTCGAGGCTTATCACAGAGACGGGCCACACGCTCTTAACTTACCCTTCTTTCCCCATGATCTGGCTTACGCCTCCACTCTGTCCCTCAATCATGTTTTTGCTTCAAACTTTTCGTTTAGCTACAAATTGCTGGCAGTTAGAAAAAAGCGGCGCCATCTGAAGTTCAGGGCACCTTCCTAGATGCTGGACTCGCATCTGGTCCCAATTGACCACTCTTCGAGCGTTAAGCACCTCTTTGAGCAAAAGGCCACGGCGTCGTCAGTACTGCAGAAGATCAAGGCGCAGTGTGCCTTCGGGTTTAGGGTTCAGGGTTTAGGGTGCTTTGAGCAAGAGCTTTCCGTGGCTTTAGGGCAGGATTTGTAGGTGCACTTGAGACGGGGAGCTTGGCAAGGTCTTGTGATCGGGTTCCCAGCAGCCGTTCATCACCACAATGTGTGAGCTCCTGGACTTCGGCCCCTGAAGGTTTAGCGGCTTAGCAATTTCCATTCCTCTGCCCTTCGTGACACGAGACGAGCTGCCATCACTCCTGGAATTTCAAGGAGGGGGGGGGGCTATCATGGGGTGCTTCTTTTGCCGGGGCTGACGGCACCAGAAAAGATGTGGCGGTTGATTCCTTACATGGGAAATGGCCAACTTTCGCGCAAGACGCTGGTTGCTCAGGCCACGCTGCGGTGACCTGGGCTCCTGGTGCTGTGTGGGAGCTTCAGGCTGAGTTGCTGAAGTCTGGGCTCAAGCTCCAATTCCCCAAGGTGAACGGCAGAAGTGCGTGTCGCGGAGCTGGACCGTGCAGATGTCAGATGCTTGTGGGGTAGCATGCTCCAGCGTATCGCTTCAGCAACTAAGGCCACCCACGCAGGAGGACCTCACTTGACCTGCTGGCCAGCATTTACACGACTTCCCCGCGCTGCCCGCAACGGATCATGCCCTTGCATGCACTTTACCAGACAGATTTTGTTTGCCATGTGCAAGTATTTGCCACCTCCCATCGAGAATTTCCGCCATGCCAGCTTTGTTCGACAAATCAAGGCCGACGTGTGTCCGCGCAAGACGATTCTGTCTTTCGACTCGCAAGGCATGGAGCAACCCTGACGGCTGAGGCAGGCTGGCGTGAGGATCCCCGTAGGCACCCACCTGGTGCACAGATCACAAAGGTCATGTCACATAGTTCATGCTCAAATTGGTCAAGTCGGTCGCGGAGTTCTCACCATCTTCCGTGAGATGGGCAGTGCACGAGGCCTGCCTGCCGGACACCTCCTGCTGACAACCTTTATTACTACCGCCAGGGTCGGTGATTCTGCACTGGCAATCTTGCTCCTGCTTGAGAGGAAGACTCCTTGGTATGAGTCTATATGCTCAGCTTTTCGCCGAAGCACTTGTCATGTTTGCAAGTCTCTGCAGGCCCCCTATACATGGCCAAATGTCCAACTTGCCTGCCATTCCTGCCAGCAGCACGTTAATGGAGCATGACGGGCATGCTTTAGGGCCATCCCCATTTAAGAGCACCCACCCTGAAGGTATGTCTGGTGTCTATAAAGAGGTTTCTGTTATGCCCGCGGCAGTGAATTGCAGGGACTGTCTCTCTGCTTCACTTTCAACATCGCGGATATGCAGTCCGTAATTTCCGGAGCCTTTCCGGCCTCGTGCTGGGTTCAGGCTTCCCAGGCGACACGGACAGTCGCACTCAAATTTTCA